ATATATATCTATATATAGATATATATAGATAGATATGTAAACATTTAAGACAATCTTTTCGTCTGTCCATCTGCTCTATAATGGAGAACTTCTCAAGTGGAAAAGATGATTCAAATAATTCAAACTGGACCGGAACCATCTGGATCAGAACCGCAGTGTGAATGGGGATTCTTTGATCCAGACTAAGCTCAGAGTGGATCTAATGTGGCTCAGTTCAGCCCGGTTCTGACCCACCAGCAAGTGCAGAACCGAGTTCTAACCTGCGGCTCTGTGCTGCCTTCAGGTACCACAGGAATCCGTGGCATCCCGTCACGCTGCCTCTGGACATGAGCTGCCGTCACGTCGTCCAGAGGATCCTCCTGGTGTTCGTCGGCGCCGACAAGCAGATCTGGGTCCTGGTGGTCCGTGGTAAGCAGAACCGTCCTCCATGGTGCAAAGTTCTGTTGGGATTCTGAAGCCGCCGGCGGCGGCCTGAAGGTCCCTGAAAGCAGTAGACTCTGTGATGGCGTTCTGATAATCAGAACCAGCTCCTCAGGTCGGTTCAGTTCTGTTGGTTCTGCCTTCTGTCTGCAGCCCCGGCCCCCCACCTCCCCACCGCGGCGGCCCTCAGGACCCACGCCGTCACCTGGGCGTCCAACATGGTGGTCCAGGAGGCCCTGCCGTCGTCCTACTACGACCACGACGTCAACACGCTGGGCCTCATCAGCCTGCAGCACAACGGCCGGCAGCACGGCAAGACGGACGGCGTCTGCCTCAACACGCTGGTGGCGCTGGTGCCGGACCGGGCGCAGCGGGACGAGGACGGGCTGCAGGTGGAGTGGCCGGCGGCGGTGACGCCTCCTCCGGTGGAGAACACTCGCTATGTCTGGATGGAGGTCCAGGAACCGGCGCTGAAGGAGAGACTGCTGCAGGAAACCCAGAACCCTTCTCTGTTCCCCATCCAGAGCCTGTACTGATGCTCTTATTGTGAAAGGACAAGCCAACTTCCTGCTTTTATTCTGAAACAATGAGAGGAAGATGCTGCTCAGGATAACGGACCGG